TACGTACGGACAGAATAAAGGACTGTTTCTGCCAAAAAGGACATCAAGTTGGCTTTAAAAGGGAATTCATGAAGATAATTTTTCTTGACGTCTGTACGAACGTATGTACGTATGTATGTATCTCGTATAACTCAAGAACGAGTAGCCATAAGAACTTTGAAATGTTGTGCATGGGATTGCTACTATAGCATGTAGATGCGCACCTCCTATTTTAGTTGCAATCGGCCTCAACGTATATAAATATTTGTATGTATATCCACTCTGTTAAGCGGCTCAGTGATCTCAGTTTCTTTACTCTTATATGTTTGTAAGTTGTGCATTTTTTGCTTTAAAATGATTGAATTATGTTGCTCTTATCTTCAGGTTAAGGTTTTTATGCCTTTAGTAAATCTGCATGCAATATTTGTGGAGTTATCAACAATTTAAAAGTTCTTTAAGTGCAGCTAAGCCTAACATTTTTGCGATGGCGAACACGTTTGTTTACATTCTAAACTTTGCAAAATAGCGGATTTGTCGCCAATCTAGAGAAACTAAGCTTCGCAACAACAAAGATAACGCCTTCTTTTATTATTGCGAATTAAATCATATTTAATCCCTTTTGGAATTTATTCGAGGAAATAAGTGTTTAAAATTTACTTCGTAATTTTTAATATAAATATTTTGAGTTTTTATGCATTTTTGCCTTGATGGGAAGTGAGAACTGAATTAATTGAATGAGAAATACTGAATCGTCTATGAAAAACCGTTTCATTTTTGTTTTGTTTGCTTAATTTATTTTATACATTATTTTAGATTGATTATAGTATTTGAATAGAACATGTGGCAACGATTAGATAATTCTTCAAATGATACAAATTTATATGCATTCTGATTTATAATATGAACGAAATGTAACGCTGTTAAGTGAACCTAGCGCCAGAGTGCCGCTGTGGTAAACAAATATACTGAATTTTAAAGAGCGCATTTAGTCTATTGTGATTTATGCGCTATCGACGAAGTAGATTTAATTCAATCCAACACAGTTTAAATGAAATGCAAGAAAAAATGAATATAATTTAATATTCCTTACGAGGAAGTAATGTGGTGCACACATCAGATATTTTAAAACTGAAATGCTTTTAGTAATTATGGCAAGCCAGTATTTTAAAAGCATTGTACGTATCATAAGGTATAAAATTATTCATACAGCAATCAGAGCAATCAGTATGCTTTTTTTCCCCTTGTACGAAGTAAAGGAAGTATTGTAATTGCAAAAATTTTCGGGTATCATATTTCAAGGAAAATATCCATTTCAATCGCTCTCGAAAGCATTTAAACGATGATTTTGCGTAACATCTATACGTATAAAAGACTATTTTTGCCAAAAAAGAATAAAGGACTATTTTTGCCAAAAAGGATTGTAAAATGGGTTTAGAAACTTTTTCTTCACGTCTGTACGTACGTATGTGTCTCGCATAACTCAACGAATAGCCGTAGAATGTTGAAATTTTTTATATGGGACTGCTATAACATGTAGTTCCGCACCTCTCTTTTTCATTGGAATCGGATGAATCAATCATATATATAATATTACCGCTGTGTTACCTGGCTGGGTGAGCTTTCTTTTTTATTCTTATATTTTGATAAATTGTGCCTTAATGGCTTTAAAAGTGATTGAATTATGTGGTTTTAATGTTTCGGTTAAGGTTTTTATGCCTTTAGTTAATCTGCATGCAATAGTTGTAGATTATCAACAATTTAAAACTTTAAATGGCGAGTTAACGAAATGCCATTTGTTTACATTGAAAACTTAGTAGAATAGTGAATTAAGTCAGTTTCTGCACCTTCAATGTATTTTTGCCGAGTGGGACCAAAAGTAAACTTTCAATTTTGTGGACCGAAATATCTGCCATTTTGCCAGCTGGCCGAATTGCTTATTTTTCTCTAGAAAGTTTAAGTTTAATTGTAAAAATTGTTTTTTTTTTTTTAACTGTTTTAGCTATTTCAGAAGTCAAACAACAAAAATCAGCGTTATATTTCCAAAATTTTCACAGGACTAGTTTCGATGGTTTTACCGAACCACCATCCTCAGCTGCAAAACCGCAGATGAACAAGATAGGAAATAATGATTAGATAAGATAAGAAAGCCTGGACAAGAATAAGCAAGTGGCGCCATCTGTTTAAGAAACTAGAACTAAATCATAATTTCTTTAAAGGCCGAAGGCAAAGTTGGATTGGAATTAGGATCGTTAACTAAAACAGAAAGATTTTTATGAATGGGAAATGCCTCTAGAAAATCCATTTGTCCAATGGAAGATGTTTTTTGAATAATTTTGGCAGCAGAAAAATTGAAAGTGTGATTTTCGGACCAACAATGTTGAGCAACAGAAGACTTCTGTGTTTCCTTTTTTCTAACACATGCCTCATGTTCCTTGACGCGAAATTTTACAATTATAAAAGACCGTACAAGGAAGCCATGTAGTGTCCACATCACATATTTCCTTTTCACTTCCTTGTACGAAGTAAAAAGAAAATACTGTAATCACGAAAATTTTCAGGTGTCATATTTCAACGAAAGTATCCATTTTGACAGCTATCGAATGGAATTTAATGATGTTTTTGGGTGACATCTGTACGTAAGGACAGAATAACGGAGTCTTTTCCTCCCCAAAAATTATAAAACTAATTTAATGAATTCTGAAGAGAATTTTTCGTGGCGTCTGTACGTACGTACGTATCTCGCATAACTCAAAAACGAGTAGCCTCAGAGTTGAAATTTTGTATATAGGACTGCTATAACATGTAGATGTTATGTTCGACTGCATGTTATAGCAGTCCTATATACAAAATGCAGCAAAAAATGAGTTCTTCGTCCTCTAATTATCCAAGGAAATTTTTGAATCGTCGATGATTTTTTGCATTGGCGCGAATGTAATTTACAATGTGTAACACTGTTTTCATAACAGAAGGATATTTTAAATACTTTGTAACGAGATGTTCTCGGTGAATTATGCAGTGATTCGGTATAAAATGTGGAATTTGAGAATCATCTGTTAAAAGCCCAATAAGACGGATTTTTTTACCCAGCATTGCCGAAGCTCCATCAGTTGCAATGCTTACAAGTTTATTAAAAGGCACATCAAAAGTTTTCATTATGGAATCTAATGCATTTTTAATATCGACACCGCGGGCTGACTCTTAAAGTGCTACTGAATCTAATAATTCTTCTTTAACAACGCAGTCATGTGACACAAAACGTATGAAAATTGCCAATTGCGGAAGATCTGTGACATCTGCCGATTCGTCAAGGGCTAAGCTGAATGCAATACAGTTCTTCAAATCATTTTTAAAATTATATTCAAGAGATGTATTAATTGCAGTTATGCGTCGTTCGGTTGTGTGTCTCGAGATGGGAATTTGCGAAACGACTTTGTGCAATGCTGCATTATTTGGATTTAATAAACTCTCCCTCTCCATACGGGTGTTTTGGACAAGCAATATTCCAGGCAATGACAAAATTGGCTTCAACCCCATTATTAGCTTGATTGCTGAAGGTCATCAAAATTGACTGTTGTGTATTTAAATTTTATTTTAAAGAAGCAAGTTTATCCGATCTTAATTTGGAATTTGGTGGATACTGATTAGAAAACTGAGGATGATTGGTTTCATAATGTCGAAGTAAATTGCTAGCTTTAGGATTTTTGACCGTAGAATTACAAATAACATATAGTGCTTTTCCGTTATTAAAAAAGAAATTCTCCTCCCACTCATTATTAAAACTTCTATTTTCTTTTTTTATTTTCGTTCTCTGTCGTCATATTTTTAAAAGAACTGGAAATAAATAAAGAAATTTAGAAAATACAAGTTTTATGCTATTAAAACAATAACAACACGTGTTACATACTACGAAGCAAATTATAACTTACAAAAAATTCCAGATTACAAATTAGCACAATCCGCACTGTCCGTTGCAACGAAAGTTTACAATTTCAAAATCGGTCTGGAGTCGGATTCAGACACCGGCTGGATGCCCCAAACGCCTGAATAATTCCCTATCTAGTGCTTTCCCCCATCACGTTACTGCATGGAGGTACCTCCATGCGTTACTGCATTGCTCATTGCTTTCAGGTGTTGTTAAATGACACGTCAATCATTCTTTTGAAGCGACTAAAAGTAGTTCTGTTATTTTAAGGCACCTTCTCTTTCCTTTGTTTACTATCAATGTTTAGCTTTTGATGACCAAAGTTGCAATCCCGTCCCAAGGGGGAATTTCGCACAGGGTGAAAGCATCCAAGAAAGTAGCTTATTGTTAGCACTATAGTATTCAGTTTGCCATAGGGGAAAGGAAAAGCATTCCAGGAAAACTTCACAGACACAGGCGTTTTCCACGTTTGGGGAAAAGAGATTTTTCCCTCTCTCGATGCGAAAGAGTTAACTTGGACGGAAATGAAATTTGTTGCAATGTTGCATTTAGTCTTTCATATATGTTGTTAGTAATTTAAAAGACATTTTGAAACACATACGAAACGATAATAATTTTTAAAAATATAATAACACAAAAATGAAAAGGGAACTCTAGTACATTTATCGAGAGCCATAAATAATCCTTCAAAGAGCCGCAGGTTGGCCACCCCTGCAATATGCCCTTTTTAATATTATATAATTAAAAAATTTAATAATACCAAATTAGAAAAGGCATACACAAGTTTTAAACAATAACAAGGAAAGTTTTAAGCACTATGAGATATTTCACAATAGAAATTTATCTCTTAAAAGGGTCTATCTGAAAATTTTCAAGGTTACAACACTTCTACTTATGTATGTGAAGCATAAACTTCATCTTTGCTTAAATGTAGACATGCATATCATTAAGCAAATACCTTCGGTTATCGGCATCTGAAGCTGATACATTCTTTACCTTTTACTGTGTTATCGTTGTTGAACGCAACGCAATAAACCTATCTGCGTTCTTTGTCCTATCTTAAATCGCATTCATTGTTAATGCATTCACCATCCTGACATTTTCTTAGTTCAGTATGGTAAAGAAGAGCAACGTGGATACAAGTTAAATAAACATGTGATTGTGTTAATTTTTTGACGTACTTTTAGTTGGAGTAATTTTACAGTTTTGAAATTCGCACATCTAGAACTGCCTAGGATATTTACTTCACATAGAAAGTAGCTATATGCGATAAATGATTTATGTATTTATTTTTGTAAGAATTTTTAAAGTGAAGAAATATGAAATCTTTAGGTAGGCACGTGAAATTTTTGTTTGTGGGATTACTTCTTGTATCTGCTATTTTGCTGCTTATGACTACTACCGTTGTAAGACAGGTCTGGGTAAGGAGAAGATAAATATTTATTATGCACATTTTAATTATGCGTTAAAATTTGTATTTATCACTTTGGTGCTCATTTTATAAGTTATGTTTTGGCTTTTTGTGACTAACACTAGATTATGACCCCCCCTTTTTTTTTCTTTTTGTGTGTGTGTGTGAAGCATTTGCTTAAGAGACGGTCGAAATTAATTATTTACTTATGGTATTTAGTATTATTTATTTTATAATATGTTATGCACGTTTTCCAGCAGGTAGCAGTTTTTGGCACATACAACAACGTAATTGTTGTATGTGAGTAATAGTAGAATATGTAAAAAATATTAAAATGCAGCATATCTATAAGAGGCAGGCAAACAATTATTTGGTAACCGAGGGACGAAATGTACTATTTTAAAAACATATTTTATTTATTACACTAGTGGAGAAAAAACTTATGCAAATGATAAGTTAACTTTGCTATAAATGATGTCAGCTAGTTTAAAAAAATTAAGAAATACTCGATTTAAAAAAAATATTGTATGAAAAATATCTGTAGACAGTTTTAATTTCAAAATTGCGCTATTAAAATATATTTCTTACTGATAAAATATATTTCTTGCTGTAATTTTGAGCCCCAATCACGACGAAAATGAGAACGGTCGAAATGGCTTCGAATAAATTTTTTAAAATCGGGGGGGGGGAGGTTACCTTTCTCGAAACTCAAGTTCCCGTCGTTCCAGAGGAGATAATGCGGCAAACAAACAAACAGAAGTGCAAAAGAAAATTTTAATAGAATACTGAGTATATTTGTTGATGCAGCACTTGTTGCTTTTCCATAATACCTCCAAAAAATTAAATCTTCCAATTTGGTCGCGCTTATGAAAATATCGCGCCATCAGTACTCTCGACAACAATATTTTTCAACACTTTAGCTGTTCCATTAACATAAACAAGATTTGGAAATGCAAAATTTAGAAATTTATCACTGTTAGAAATTTTGCAGTTGCTGTATATGTACCAAATGAATAATTTCTGATATTACTGGGTTGTTCAGTGATTATTTGAACTAAGACGAGTAAAGGGTCAGAGTTTTAAGTGTCAGAATGCATACATAAGTCAAAATCGTAAAAAAACAACCTTATATTTAGCGTAGTTATAACTACGCTAAATATAAGGTTGTTTTTTTACGATTTTGATTGTCACATTAGCGTGTTTCTCTTCTAGTCTTGCATACATAAGTGTTGAAGATAATTACACCCACTTCGCAGCAGTATTATCATTTCCTAGGAAGTTTCCAGATGGTTTGCAGCAAAGAATATTTTTACGGTACCCATGGACCCACCCATCGACAGCCTGTTGCAGTTCAACTATGCAAGTTCTCCATCATCAATCATATCGAAAAGTCTCCTTCCTCGTTGCGTAGTTCGATGCAACAAGTCTTGGCACATTATCAAACGTTTCTACAATCAGTGAATTTCTACAACACCCACTATTTACGCATATTCGTAATCTTTATGAGCTGTCATGTTTATAGCTTCTTAGTTCATAGTTGTTTTACTTTTTTAAAGGGGATGCTTTAATTTGTCAGTTCAAGCTGGACACTTGGTGAATTGAAACTCGTGAAAAGACACACTACTCTAATTCTACTCATCCGTTTCATTACACTTTCATGTCTCAGGTTTAGAGTGTCCACCGTCAAACTATCCCTTTCCTTGAGCAGATAGCTTTCGTGAGCTTTGCCCTGTTTATATAACATTGATAACTTTCATTTCCCATGTTGAAATTTCTAATCTTCTTAAATAAAAATAGAGTTTGCTCACTGTATACGGCCATTTATTGCTTATAAAATCATGCTGATGACTGTTCCGGTTCCAACGAAACCATGTAGTGTACTTTTGACCATGTGCATCACCCTCCATTGGTACCACATATACACTTGTTCATGTTGTTATTTTCATCATGTTTCCCGTTATAACTCCCTAATGCTCTCGTAAAGGGACTAGGCGAGCCATTTTATGGCAGAATGTCGAACTCACACCATCATCTAAAACAAACACCTCTACAGTAAATTGTTTATTATACTGGAACAACAGTACTAGTGGAAATCTTTATCGAAATAATTATAAGGTATTTTTCCCCTCTTTTCTGCATGCCTTCGTGGTATAACGGTAACACACTCGGCGCGTATTCAAGAGGTCCAGGTTCGAATCTCGGCGGGAGCATTGATCATTTTTCACGTCTCCTGTTTCAAAATAGCCGGATAACTCTACTGTGGCACTCGAACAAAAAAAGTGGTGGATAATGATTCTTCACTGCAAGGATTCGGCGATTAGGTTTCCTAATCCCTTAAAAGGAGAGATATATAAAGTATTTTCTCCTTCCTTTCTGCTTGCTTCTGTGGTATAACGGTAGAGAATTCGAGAAGTCCCGGAGAGGGCATTGCACATTTATCATGGCTTCCGTTAAAAAAAAAAAATCCTAATTGACTATGCATAGTCATTACCGTAAGTACCTTAATTAAAATATTTCAATGATAATATGCAATAAGAAATAAACGATAAAAATGTTTCAGCAGAAACTGATTTCTTAAACACACGGATAAAATACATGATTTTTTATCTTCTACTGCTAGATATGTTCAATATGAAAATAAATCTAACTTTAAAAAAAAAAAAAAAAAAAAAAAAAAAAAGTCCCTATCCTCCCAAGAATGGTAATTTTTAATGTATAGTAAACTAGATATACCTAAAAACTCAAAATTAACATTTGAAAGCTCTTTTATTAATTATACTAATGATCAAGCAGATAATGTCTCAAAAGGTGACCATATATTATTAGTTTCAAACAATAACTTCAAAAATTTTGTGTATGTATATATATATAAACAGAAAATAATAAAAAGTAATTTTCTTTAAGGTATGCATTTGTTTACAGTCGTTTTTTCACACTCAATATTTTTTCAAAAAATAAAATATAAATTTTTTCGGTACTCTTCTGGTATCAGGACCATATTCAGAAATGTGTGTATATGCATGTATGTGTGGAAATTTTGAAAGAGGTAACGAGATCGTTCGATTTTTTTTTAGCCCAAAGGGAAAATTTGCCCAGAAGGACTATTAATTTTGTCTTGGCATTTTGCCTTGGTTCATTATAAACGGCGTTTCACTTTTCAAATTGTTGTTGCCAAATATTAGAGACCTTTTCTATTCTATTTAAAGAAATTAAAAGATGAAGAATATGCATGAGTGTATGTATGTCTCTCGCACTGTGGAAAAACAGTGGTACCTAGAGACATGAAACTTTGAATAACATAGTCCCCCACTCGAATATGGAGATATGGAAGCCGAAATTTGTTTCATTATCTATTTCATATTTTGTAAAACGATTGAATTTTTGTTTGACAAAGTCAAGGATTTCAAAGCGAGCAATGGCAACACTATACGAAAGAAACATTTTTATCTCGAGCGCTATATCTCGGAAATTTTAAAGATATGCTCTTCTTAAATGCTTTGTGGTACTGCTATCGAATTGAATTTTATCGTTTAAGTGTGAAGAAAATAATATTCAGTAAATAAAGGTAACACACAAAACGTTAAAAAAACGCCCCTTTGTGCGTAACATAAAATATGAAAGCTTTTAGATTTTTTTAAATTAAAAAAAATTTTTTTTTTTTTTTAACTTTTGGCTTTTGGGATGACATTTTTAATTCCTTCTCCTCCAGGCTTCATTTAAAATCCTTGTAGTTTGCTTTAAAGATGAAAGTACTTAATTTGATACATTTCATAGTGTGTTAAAAATTCACTGACTACTTTATAATGGGGAAAAGTGTTTCTTTCAATAAAAAAAATCTTTTGTATTCAAGCTTTGAACCTCTTTTTTTATTTTAAATCTTTATCTGACGTTAAGCTTTTCTTTCCCTTTTACGTCTTTAATATGCCTTTGATTTGAGGGAATATGCATTACTCACATGTGATTATTTTAAGGGAAAATAATTTTGTAAACAAGAATACCGTATTCAGAGAAGAAGGAAAGGAAGCAATTTCTTTTTTCTGTATAACTCATTGCTTGAAATAAAAAGTATAAAAATTAATATTCTTTTTCTTTTTAAAACCTAGATGACGTGTTTATTACTTTCGGTAAGCGGATTTTATATCTTAGCAAATAGAAAATATTGCTACTTCTGAAAAATATTTGCCTCAAGTTTCGCATGCCCGCGATTCTATGAAATAAATATACAGCTATGTCTTGAAAAATCAAGTCTTCCCTTTATAAAACCCTAATTATTGTCTTCTCTTTACTATTTTACGATCAAATAATATAATTCAAATTAAATCTCTCTATCATTTGGCTTTACAATTTTGAAAATCTTATTATAAAGATAAGATTTTATTCTATATATCTTTAACTTTTAGGGGATTAAGTCCGAAACTAATAAACCTTTCTTAAATTATGACCATTAATTTAATTTGACTAGCAGTTGAAATTATGCTGATTCTTTCCTTTATGCCTCATTTTGTCACGTAGCCCCTCAGTGCAGAGGTTTATGTAAATTTAATGATAAGCGGGTCAAAGAAACTGGTTTGATTTAGAGTACGGACTTGGCTTTTGCAGCCACTGCTGCTTGTTTATAGAAAGTTTGCTTTGGTTTATTTGATTATGGCAAAGCACGTGATGGCTATTTGCCTAAGGAGAGGAAACATTCGGAGAATACTTTCTAGGGGAAATCGGCTTTCATCCACGTTACATATGAGAAAAACCGCAAAAACAGCCGAGCAGCCAACTCATTCACCTGGGGACTCGAACAATGGATGATTAAGTTGCAACTTATTTTTACAATTTGTTTTTGCTATTTTTTAAATATATATATATTTTAACTTTTCAAAACTTTAATGGTTTGCTTTTCGAGGTATTAATCCATATTCTAAAGTCTTCAGATTGAAAGCTATAAATTCTTTCTTTCTTTATTATAAGGCTTGCTAAAACACCTGAGTTGCCTGCGTTTTATGCAGAATGAAAAGGCTT